CCCTTCCTATAGGTTCTCAAAGACCCTTTTTTAACAGGGGAGCCAGCAGCTTACGGAGGCCTCGGAACACATCTCCCTCAGCATCAGCCAGGGTCTTCCCTTGCTCAAAGGTGATGAGTTTTGAAATTTCTTTCTGAAAATGGAAAAGATGAAGTTTATGAACATTAGAAAAGTGCCTGCCCATGCAACAGGGTGCAGAGATAAGAGAGTTTAACAGAGAGCTGAACATCACAATAAAGACTGAGTAGAACCTGGGAAAGCCTACACTGACTGATTTGCCCCTTGTATATAAGAAGCCAGTAAGGCACACAGGTGACATTTTAGAAAAGTCAACTGTGGTTGGCTTATATTCTAAAGCTTTCATGTGTCACACCACAGACACACAGAAAAAGCAGTATGGGGAATCCAAAGTCATAGTAACATTCTTGTCCCACTTGTCTTTGCCAAATGGCACATTCTCCATCAAGGCTGAAAGTTTCTCTCATGGTCTTTTGGTAAAGGAACCAATGCAGACTAATACTGCCTAAGAAGCACTCTCTTTGCTTGGAGAGTGCTTTGCTACACCTCTCAATGACAGCGTCTCAGTGGGCTCCTCAATCATAGCAATGATGCCTCATCAGTGGTGAGAACACAGTAAACCCTGAGCCTCTCAATTTAATTCCTAAAGTCAACTGGAATGCATTGAGCAACAGCCATCACACACAGCCGTGGTCTCTCACCAGATTGTCTTTGATGAGTTGTTGATAACGCAGGAATATTTGCTGGCGACTCAGAACAGATGTTTCTGACCAGTTCCAAAAAGCCTTCTTGCAAGAAGCCACAGCTGCCTCCATCTCACTGGCGGTGGCTTTTGGTACACGGCCAACCACTTCATTTGTGGCCTGAAGCAAAAAACAAACTGCATCAAAACTCAGCTTCTTCCAGCTGTCCCTGACAGCCATTCAACAGTCCTCTCACACCACACACCTAATACTCTTGTTCTACAAGGAGCTGTACTTCTGAGGGGAGAGCACCTTCCTTGGTGCACACAAAAGGTCTGGGCTACAACTGGAATAGTTCTGAAAACCTGCACTCTACATATCTCAAATGAAACACCCAGAAAGCTGCAAACACCGTGCCCGTTTCCAAGTTGGAGTTAAGTGACTTGTCTGTCTTGCAGCTTCTACAGAGTATAAGGCAAAGGTTTATGTGGACTATGGTCTTTTCCCTCTGCCTCATCTTGGCTCACTGCTGTCCTTCTTGTGCATTAAACGAGGCAAAGTTCTTTTGGAAAAAGCAGTCAGTGACTGTGCAATTGGCACTGCTGTTAGTTTACCTAGACCATTAGGCTAAAGTAAGATTTTTACATGTGACCTTAGTTCTACGGTACTTTAACTTTGAAAGCTTGTCTTTGCCAGTTGAACCTCCTTCTAACGCACTCTTAAAAATTAAGTCTGCTTTGGCATAACAAAAACATCAGGTACATCACTAAGGGAGAAACTACTCAAGAGAAAGAAAATTAAACATGAACATGGTTCACCACATAGAGACCAAATGAGCTCCATGAGCATGGCTTGGTGCTTTGATCACTTCCACAAAGCAAATCAAAATAGGGCTTTACAGAGAAAAGTTTGAGAAACTGCCGACCAAATGGGGTCAGAAGGGTCAGAATTCCGAGTGCAAGAATGGTGGAGGACTCAGACAAGTAAAAGTGCTACTAATCTAAAATTATTTTGCACTGCATAGCACCCAGCCTCTAAATTCACTGTGAATGTTGTGGCTCACAGATAGAAGCTCTCTGAAAGGAGAGAAGCTTCAGCCATCAGGATTTTTTACCTTGGTCTGAGAGTGAAATCAGCCTCTATCGGGACTTCACATTCAGCTGGCATCAAATCACAGCCGGTTGATTTCACATACAGGGTGAAAGGAACCGTTCAGAAATTTGACATACTGATCACAGAGCCTTTCTATGAGCAAAAAAAATGTAAGCGGGGTTTAAGCTTCCTTTCCGGAGATCAAGATTTTACTGCACAGGGGAGATAAAGGAGGTCATCACTTTCCTAAGACTGGCATTTCATGTGAAAAGGAAATTGAGAAGCAATTGCACAGTGCTAAATCCATCTTAAGCTCCAAGTCTAAGCCCTTCTCAAGAAATGTATGTGCTTTCCCCTTTTGCCAAACGCTTGAACAGAGGCAGAGATTCTTGTTGCACAGTGATCGCTACTCTATAAAGTGAGGCCATTTCACTTACCGGGTTGTGGATATCAATCCATTCAGTAGTTTTGGACTCAACAAACTTCCCATCAATGAAGAGTTTGGTTGTTGGCTGTGGAGGACAAAACACTGGCCAGTGAGAGATCTTTGTCTCAAGATGCCCAGTCACCAGTGTGCTTTATTACATGCAAGCCTTCATCATTTACTGCTATGGTGCCCATTGGAGAGCCTAGATCCAGTATTTATGGCAAGACCCAGCTAACTGCTTAGGCTGAAAAGTTTTCAAGCTCTCTGACCCATTTTTCTCTCACTTTACACCAAAATGGCCGAAATTATTTCTAAAAGCAGTTACAGCAAAAGTATATTGCCATGCTTATGTTCAGAACTATTTCAATCTACTCACCCAACGTTTTGCTAAACTAGAAAACCGAATTCATAAATGTTCAAAAGAAACAGTTAATAATTCACCTTGTGAGAAATCCATGTGCCCAGCGCACACTGTACTAAGTGTTTCCTTCCCAGCAAGCCACTAAGTAGGTTCATCTCTCCAGCTCACAGCTACAGGCATGAAACTGGACTTTCCCTCTTCCCTGCAACTAAGAGCAAGGAACCTGCACCTCCTGAGTTCACAGTGATTGTCCTGGCCAGCAGCGTGGAGAACAGAACTTCCCAACACGGATGCAAAGGAGAGAAAAGGAAAGTTTGGAATAAAGAGGCAAGTGTAGGGCTGAAGAAGAAGCTGGGATAGAAGCTGTAACTACCACTGGAAAAGCAACAAAACTGTAGCACGCAGGAAAACAGATCGGTATTTAGGGATATTGGTTGTTTAGCATAAATAAGTTTTAATTAGAATAAATTACTTAGGAATATAATATGGTGCAATTTGTGCTGTTTGCACAAATGTATCAGGGAGCAGCGTGAAGAAATTAGGATGTGGAATTATGAGAGGGAAATGAGGCTTGAGATTCTATCCAAAGTGCAATGAAGGGAGGGAGATGGGACGGCTGGACAAGTGAGGACAGTGAAAAAGTGAAGAGCAGTGAGAGTTGGGACAAGCTGAGAAAGCAGGACCAGGGTGAGGAGTGTGAAGTAAGACCGTTAATGGAAAAGCAAGACCTATTGATCTGGGAGGTAACACCAGGACTGAGTCAAAAAAAATATGGTTGCAGGTGATTATGTAGCTGGAATTACACTTGGGAAAGAAGAGGCAGAAGTCTGTGCCTACAAAAACACAATCCTCTCTAGAACCTGGAAGGAAGCACAAGAAATCTGAGTCCCTAGTCTTCTGATTGACAGAAAAGGTCTTCTAGTGCTGGTCTGAAGAATGACAAACTCCTACTGCTATCAGTCACTCCATTAGCCCAGGTGCCACGTATCTGCTGTGGACCTACAAGCTCTAGAGTTTTATGACCCACGTGGACTTCAGTGCAATGGAATTTATGTTTTTTACAAACTGCTTAAAAGGGATATCTAGAAAAACACACATACAAAGAAAAGGCATTTTAAGGAAGCCAGGAAAGGCTGAATTAAGAGTGAATGTACTTTTTCTGTAAGATCACCACCTTTTTTCTGCTGAGAACGAGCCCGCTGTGGGAACAAGGGCTGTTGTAAAGCAGGGTATTTGGAGAATTATGATTTAGCTGTTCCGAAGCTGGAGAGTGTGCTGCCATGCATACCGGGAGAAAAAAAGGCACCGTAACAGTTAAAGTTGTTCGATACTGCCCAGAGGAAATCAGATCCTCTCCCTGACATAAATAGACGTGGCCAGTCCACACAGCTTGAAACAATCTTGTTTTTTTTCATGAGTTATCATTAGTTATATATATTCTATATTGATTGTTGCCGGTGTCACTGAAGAGGGGTTCCAGAGGCCGGTGTCCGTTTGGCACGGCCTGTGCTGCCCCCGGCACACGGAGCACACAGACCCGGGGAGACTCACTGCTCCGAGGCATCGCCCTTGGGGGCACCTGCTGGGCCGGTGGGGGGGTCCCCGGGACGGAGGGACCCGCCCGGCCTCAAACCATCTGACATTGAACTTGTTTTCTCTCCCCTCCGGTGGCGCGGCGTGGGGGGGGGGGACGGGACGGGACTCTCCGCGCCCGCTACCGAGTGTTTGTTCCAGAAATACCGACCCGGAGCCCCGGGGAGGGCTGCCGGGCTGTGCCGGGAGGGCAGAAAACACCTTATAAGAGCAGACCTCAGGGAACCCTCCGGCCGGCGGCGGCGCCCGGGGCTTTCCCGCGGCCTCCCCCCCCGCCCCTCCCCGCCGCGGCCTCCCCCACTCCGCGGGACGGGCACTCACCACCGAGGAAGAGGAGAAGGAGGCGGCGGCCGAGGCGATCCAGGGGGCACCGTCTCTCCGCACCAGCTGGATGGAAGGGGAAGCACAGACCAGCCCGGTTCCGCGGGGCTCCCGACCGCCCCCTCCCCTCCGC